TTTCCGCTTTTCTTATCATTTTTTTAGAGTCTTCCAATTTGAAAGGTTCATCTTCCTGCATGATATTCAACAGTATTACTCTGTTACTCATAGGGTTTCAAAGGCTTGTTATTTTAGAAGTGGATGGCCAGTGCTGCTTCTTAGTCTGTCTAGAAGTTGCATTTAAACCTGTCCACCATGGATGACCCTGCCAGTATTTGAAATACCAGTGGCATTGCTTCCAGCATAAGACACTGCAGTACAGTAAACTGATAGACAAGTGCTATACCCAAAAGGGAAGACTATAATCTGTAAGTGCTATAACCTTAAGAGCAAAATAAAATGTAGAGATGCTAAGAGAGATGAACAAATTATTTCAAAGGGCAGCTCGAGAGGACAAAGAAAAGTATTATAAAAAACCATGAAGTGCTGGAGTTAGAAAACGAAAAGGGATGAACACACGCAGCATTTCTCAAGTGGAAAGGACAAAGGAACAATTTCAAGCCTTGAGTTGCAGTATTGAAGTATTCTAGGGCAAAATCTTGAATGATGAGGCAACATCAGAAGATCAAAAGAATACATACACAGAGTCTTTGTACCAAAAAGATTCATTTAAAAAAAAACTTGGTTGACACTGAACCATTTCGGGAAGTAGTGTATATATATGATCATAACACAGTGGTAATGAAGGAAGAAGTAGTTCAAGTTGGCATTCACAAAAAGTAAGGCCCCAGGAATTGATTTAATACCAATAAGTTTTTTAATGAATGGATGTAGCCCTGGACATACTTATTAGCCTATGCCAAGAAAATTTGGAAGACAGCTACCTGGCCAACTTGACTAATAGAAATCCATATTTGTTCCCATTTCAAAATAAGGCAATCTAACAGAGTGCAGAAATCATAAGCAATATAATTATTATCACATGCAAATAAAAACTTGCTGGAAATTACTTTTAAAGCTAGAACAGTACATTGACGTACAGAAATTCAAACTGAATTTAGAAGAAACCATGATACATGGGATATGGCTGGTGTTAGGTGGATTGTGGCTGAAACCAGATGTTTACTTGTGGTTTTCTTGACTACACCATACTCATACAGTGTTGGAGGGGAAGAGGCGTTTGTGTGGATTGTAACAAATTACAGATAAAATGGGTGACCCTGGAGGACATTATGCTGAGTGAGGTATCTCAGTCACAAAGGGCAAATGCTATATGGTGCCACTGTTGTAGAATGAGGCTGGCATCGGGGTGGGGGTAAGACTGAGAAAAACTGGATGAAATATGTTTACGGCATTGAAGTCTTTGGGGGAGAGAATATTTTATATTTTAGGGCATTATGTTTATCGTAAGAGTACAGAATGAGGGTTGCAGAGTGGATTATATTTGGGGTTGGGGAGGTGTGGGGGGGATTCCGTACCAGTGAGGGAGTTTTTCTTTTGCGTTTGAAGGAGAGGAACAAACCGGGGTTGGGAGTGGGGGAGGGGGGGCAGGGAGAGGGGTGCAACAATGAATGAATGGAATTCCAAAATCTCTGTAGATGTTCACTGAAATGAAAAATAAAGAAATTTTTTAAAAATTACAGATAACACTTGTACTCATGAGAAACCTATACATAGACGAAGAAGTAGTTGTCTGAACAGAGCAAGAGAACCCTGCATAGTTTGAAATCGAGAAAGGTGTGCATCAAGGTTGTATCCTTTCTCTATATCTATTCAGTATGTATATTGAGCTAATAATTTGAGAAACAAGACTATATTAAAAGAATATGGCACCAAGATTAGAGGAAGACTCATAAACTTCAGATGACAACTTTGCAAAAAGGGAAAAAAGACTTGAAGCGCTTACTGCAGAAAACCAAAGACTGCAAACTTCAGTGTGGATTACATCTCAAAATTAAGAAAACAAAAATCCTCACCACTAAACCAATAGACAACATCATGATAGTCGGAGACAAGATTGAAGTTGTCAGTTATTTCATTTTACGTGGGTCAACAATCAGCACTCATTGTATCAGCCGTCAAAAAAATAAAAGAGATAGTGCCTTGGGAAAACACCTCTCTAAAGTTATAAAGGGCAGTGATAACCGTTTAAAGACCAAGGTGCACCTGATCCAAACCACAGTATTTTTACTTGCTTCCTATGCATCTGAAAGTTAGGTAAGGATAATGAATGAAGAACTGATTTCTTTGAAAAGTGGCATTGGCGACAACTACAGAGTATTCCATTAACTACCAAAAGAATAGACCAGTCTGGCTTGGAGGAAATATAACCAGGCCGCTCTTTACAGGGCAAGCATGGTGAAACTTTATCTCACATACTTTGGGCTTATTGTCAGGAGGGACCAGTCCTTGGAAAAAGACATCAGACTGAGAAAAGTAGAGGATCAGCAATAGAGGAAGTACTCTTACAGAGACAGAATGACACCATGGCTGCAACAGTGGACTTGAGGACGACACAGAGTATTTGTCTGTTGTTCATAGAATCACTCTGTGTCATATAGTCAGCTTGACAGCACATAGCACACAATCACCTTCCTCACAGGCCTGTGAGTCACTTGATAAAACCCAGACTTGATTCTGATCTCCATTTTTTCCTTATCACCTGGCTTTAGAGTTGTTTCTGGTTTTGTTTTACTTTATTATGTCTCTACCCTAATACTAATTTCATTCTTTTTTATTAGAACTTACCAAATACATATTGGATTCCTGTTCTATGCCACATTTTCCAAGAGCAGGAATCTTGTCTGTATCCTTGGCAGAACTATGCAGTATATGCTCAATAAAATGGCCATTGATTCAAGCTGCTTATCTTTCTTTCCTTTTTCTTCACCTTTTACTTTTAACTGTTGTTATGTGGTATGTTGTTGTTGTCGTCATTGTTCTTAGGTGCCATTGAGGCTAGTACGATTCATAATGACCCTATGAACAAAAGATCTGAACCCTATTCTATTTTGTATCATCCTCACCCTTCCTGACACAAGAATCCATTGCAGCAGTCACCATGTCAACCCACCTGGTTGAGGGTCTTCCTCTACTTTTACGTTGCAACCCTCCACCCTTCTTAGCATCATGTCCCTTTCCAAGGAATAGTCCCTCCTAGCAAAATTCCCAAAGTATGTGAGGCAAAGCCTCATCATTCTTGCCTTCAAAGAGAGCACTCTGGCTGCACCCTCTCCAACACATAACTGTTTGCTCTTTTGGCGGTCCAAAGAATGTTCAGTGCTCTTCCCCAACACTACAGCTCAAAAGCTTCAATTCTTCTTTTGTCATCCTTATTCATTGTCCAGCTCTCAGATGTATAGCAAGTGATTGGAAAGACTATGGCCTGAATCTAACACACCTTAGTCCTCAAACTGACATCATTACTCCTCAATAATTTGGAGAGGTCACTAACTACAGATTTTCCCAGTGCAGTGTATCTCCTTATTTCCTGACTGCTGTTACCAAGGCTGTTAATTGTGGATCCAAGCAAGATGAAGTTATTGACAGTTTCAATTTCCTCTCCATCCGTCATGATGTTACCTATTGGTCCAGTGGTAAGAATGTTTGTTTTCTTTACATTGAGATAGAGTCCATAATGAAAGCTGTATTATTTGATCTTCTGAAACAACTGCTTCAGGTCGTCCTCACTTTCACCAAGCAAGTTTGTGTCATCTGCATAGCACAGATTATTGATGAGTCTCTCTCCAATCCTGATGCCACACTTGTCTTCATAGAGTCCAGCTTCTCAAATAATTTGCTCAACACACAGATTAAATAGATACGGAGAGAGAATACAACCCTGAAACACTTCCTTATTAAGTTCTATTGTGTAGTATAACTCACTATAAAACAGTATATGAAGTATGTATGAAGAACTTAAAATATAACATTATAAATGTTAACAATTCCTAGTTTAAGATCTAAAATGTCAACTATATTTTTGAAGAGAGTTCTGGTTGCTGCTTCTTGTTGTTGTTTTTGATTGCCTTCGTGTTGAGCACAACTCATAGTAACCCTATGAACAAAAGGCCTAAAGCCTCTCTACAACTATCATCATTTATCATAGTTCATAGAGTTTCCAGAGGCATGTTTTGTATGAAGTGCATGCCATTCCTGCTTCCCATCTGGTTGCTTAGTGATAAGGAATTGCACGGACAGCACAAAAGTATGCATTCTAATCCACCAGTTACTCCACCGGAGAAAAGATGGGCAGTGTGTCCTACTGTGCAATTTACTGCCTCTGAAAACCTGCTGGAAAATCAGTTATGTGTCGGTTCTGACTTGACAGCATATAGTAACAACAACATATGTGACTAATACATGGCCCTTCCTGCCACTCCCCAGAGAGTACCACTTCCCAGAAATTTGTATTAAAGTTGTCTTCATCTTCTTTATAGTTAAACCATGTTTGTTATCTCTGAACAAATATGAAAAGGACAGAACAGAGCAATACCATGCTACCTTTACAAGAAGTCTTCATATCTATAGGTCCTTTTTTTCTTCCTCCTACACCTGGGACTTATCAATAGCATTTAATGTTTAACAAATAAACCTCAGCAAAGGGGATGTTTTGATTACTGGGCCAATTTTTTTATTTAGCTGTCAAATTGTAAATTGTGGTACTTACACATTTATATCACCCCTCTTCATTGACACAATCAAAATTTTCCTTTGACTTTACATTATTTATAAGGTTTTTTCATAACATATATATTTCTACCTATAGATTGATGTACAACACTAGGGTTTTTTGGTCCTTTATCTCAGCCTTTAAGAGTAGAGTTTTTAAAAAAAAAAAACAAACACAACAACTCTACATCCCTTTTAGTGAAAAAAGGAAATTTGTTTGTTTCTCAGGCAGTCAAAAAGGTGCCCCTGGTCTTCCTCAGACTTGAGGGCCCCTCTCTAGGTACCAGCTCTCAGAGGACTGGCCAGCCTCCTGCAGCCACTCTGATGACTTCTGCACTTGTCCTTCTTCCGGTACGGTTATTTTTCTTTGTCTCACAGTATGCTTATCTTCGTATTTGTCCTTCCAGCTGCGGCCTGCGAGTTTGTGGACATCGTGGAGCTGCTGCTGCAGTCTGGCGCCGACCCCACACTGCGTGACCAGGACGGCTGCCTGCCGGAGGAGGTGACGGACTGCAGGGCCGTGGCACAGGTGCTACAGCAGCACACCACCCGCACAGCATAGTCGGGGAGCAGAGGCTGCTGCCTACAGCGTAGGGCTTCACTGAGAGAGAAAACCACAGATATGGCATTTCTTTTGATATTCACTAGCTAATAAAATCAGGGTATCCTGAGGAGCTTAGATTCTGAAGCCTCAGTAATTCATTGTTCTTGTCTGCGTTCTGGGGAGCAGAATTTGGGTGATGAACATGTGTACTGTGCATAATGCAATCCAATTCTGCTGAGCATGCTCTGAAATTTATCACTGCTCAGGAGGGAGGGGAGAGTAGGAGACAGATCGTATTTCACAATATTAAACATGGCTGTGCTTGAAAAAAAAATGCAGAAGCAAAAGGTGACCAACAGCACCAAACTGGTAGTTAGGGAACTTTTCATGATACCTCAGTATGATGGAAATCAGATGTTCTTGTGGCCTCTTGTACCCCAAGTCTGAAAGATGACTAAAATGACTTTTTTTTTTTTTGGCAGACATATGTGGGAATAGGGAAGAAAAAGGGCATTAGGAAAAGAACACTTGAAGAGAAAGAATTTTGTCTGTAAGGGAACACAGAATTCAGAAGGACAACTAGATTTACTCCAAAATTTGGGCATTATAAAAATAAGATTTAGCAACTCAGTTTCAGATTGAAACATGGATTCTGGGGAATTCACTACTCTGGTCAGGATTCCTTAAACTTTATTAAATACAAGCAGGGCCCTGTAACACTAATATCCCTGCCATGTATGGCAGCAGTCGGTGTCAATGTGTCAGGCTGAACTGGTAAGCTTATCTGGGTTGAATGTGAAATTATCACAACCCCACCAGTAGCAAGGAGCCCTGGAGATGCAGAGATTAACTGCTTGGCCATTAGCCAGAAGGTCAGCAGTTGAAACCCACCAGCTACTCCTTACAAGAACTATGTGGCCATGTGCTTCCATTAAGGTTTACCGCCTTAGAAACCTGTGAAGACGTTCTCCTCTGTTCTTTTGGTTCTCAGTGAATCAGAATCGGCTCAGCTGTACCAACTTTTTCAAGGGTCACTACTAAGATGCAAGTAATAGACTTGCTTAATGGGGCCCTCGGCAGTGGGCAGGATCTGGAGAGTTCACTGGTTTGGGCAAAAGGCGCTATGGCTGACCTGTCCTGCTGGAAAAAAGCTCTCCAGAGCAGAATGAGGCCAGTTAGTGCTACTTGTTTTGTGATTCTTCTAATCTGACTACCAATTTTCTGAGCATAAACCAAAGGCATCTACCAAGACTATTCTTTTTAAGTTTTTATTATTATTAATTTTAATGAAAATTTACAGAGACTTTGGATTTCCATTCATTAATTGGTGCACTTTTCTCCCTACCCACCCATCCCCCACCCCAGTATGCTCTTATCTTTGAAAAGTAAAAGAAAAATTCTTTCATTGTTATACAATCCCTGCCCCCCAGGTCCACTCCACTATGCAGCCTTCATTCTGGACTCCTGCAAGACTATTTTTTCAAAGCCTACAGATACACATCACTTCATGTCTGTCCAGCAATGTCCAACAGCATATACTCACAAAATTTCACTTTGTTTTGTTTTGATTTTCTAAAGGGAAATCAGCTTGCTTTTATTTGTTATTTCCTCCTAATGGTTTCAGGGGAATGCTAGTGGCCTGGTGGTAAGAAACTGTGCTGCAATCCCAAAGGAATGCAGTGCAACCCACCAGGTGCTCCATGGGAGACGGATGGGCAGTCTCTTCCCATGAGATTTACTGCCTCTGACAACCTGCTGGAGCGTCACCTATGGGCCGGATCCGCCTTGACAGCACTCACAACAGCACTGGTTATAAGGAACGGCTCTGGTGGCGTAGTCCATAGCAAGTTGTACTGCTGCCAGAGGTACTGCATGCCCAGTAGTTTGCAGAATCCACCCACAGTCCTGTGGGGAAAGGTGGGCACTCTCCTTCCACTGTGATTGACAGCCGAGGAGGTCAGTGGAGGGTCCCTGTGAGTCAGACTTGGCTTGACAGCTGTGAGTTTGAATTCTGAGTAATGGTTTCAAAGACCCCAGGCACCACAAGTGAATAAGAAGCAGGGCTTCACAGTGTATCCCATTCCCTGTAGGGCTTCTTCCTTCACATTGACTTCCCCTCCTTGATCAGGAAGCAACTGCTCCAACAGGGGGCCAGGAGCCAGGGCTACCACTGCCAGCCTTGTTCCTGGTACTCACACACCTGGTTTCCATATGCACCTCTGTGCACCCTCCCTCTGCCCCACACAGTCTGGCTGCCAGTATAGACGCTGCCTGCCCAGCCCACTCAACAAGGCCGCCTCCTATACTACTAGGTATAGCTCTTTTTCTTTGTCCACTGAGCTCCCATAATATCTTAGTAGAATGGACTTGATAGGGATTTAACTATGGGTTGTACAGGGAAAGTCTGTGTATAATAATGGTATTTACACAGCTTCCAAATCACATAACATCCTGCCTCTTTCACAAAATGTTTCAGCCACAGCATACACCTGTAATCACGTTTTTACATTATTTCTGTATCCACAGAATACTAAAATGGTACTATAATTCTACAAGAGCATTTCTCTTTATTCTTCTTTTCATCACAATCTTAGTTACAATAAAATCTACTACTTAGCTAATCTTCTCATGTTCCACATTAATTGAATATGTTTAAGAAACACAATAAGCTATTTTCAGTAAAAGTGACCAAGAGGTTGCATATAGGTATTTTGATTGAAATGACTTTGTGCATTTTTAGGACGTTGTTGTTGTTGTTGTTGTTGTTGTTGTGTGCCATCAAGTTGCCTACAACTCATAGCAAGCCTATGTACAACAGCCCTAAACCCTGCTCTTTCCTGGGCCAATCTCACTGTCTCTAGCACACCTACTCCCATTACCCCAATCACTGAATCAATCCATCTCATTGAGGATCTTCCTCTCCTGCACTATCGCTCTACCCTCCCAAGCATAACATCCCTCTCCAAGGACTGGTCCCTCCTTGTAACATGCCCAAAGTATGTCAGATGAAGCTTTAGAATCCTTGCCTCCAAGGAGCAGCCTGGTTTAACTCTACCTAGGACAAACCTGTTTGTTTTCTTAGCAGTCCATGGTATATTCAATACTCTTCTCCAGCACCACAGCTCAAAGGCATCAATTCTTCTGTCCTCCCTAGTCATTGTCGAGCTCTCTGACGCGTCACAGATTATTGCAAAAACCATGACCTATATCAGGTGCACCTTAGTCTCCAGACATCGTTGCTCTTCATTACTTTGGAGAGGTCTCTAACAGCAGACTTACCCATCATGATACATCTTTTAATTTCCTGGCTGCCGGTGCCAAGAGTGTTGGTTGTTGAGCCAAGCAAACTAAAATTGTGAACAATCTGTCTCTTCACCATCATGATGCTTCCAATTAGCCCAGTGGTGAGAATCTTTGTTTTAGGACATTAGCAAGTCAAAGATGCCTTGTCCTTTTCATATTTACAGAGTAATTCTAGAAGCAAGACGGTCTCAGGGAACTCCTGCTTTCATGTCTTTTACAAGTTGGCCTTGATATTTCTTAAGCAATGGTTTAATTATTTGTTTGCATTGCTTAAACTGTATGTAAGCACAGTGGCAGCATAGTGTGCAGGGAATTGCATTGTAACTGAGAGGACTTGCCTGTCCAGCAGTGAGTCACACCTACCAGTGGCTCGTCTGAAAGAGGCAGGATCTCCCGTGTGACATACAGCCAGAAACCCCATGGGGGGGTCTGTATGCATACATTCCAATTCAACAGCAGTGAGGTTGAGTTTCTGAAACTGAATATGTAGATAATTCTGCCCAAAGCACCCTTGAGGCTTGAATTTGTTCTTCAGTTCCCTCAGCTTAAGTAATGCTGAGCGAGTTTGGCACCTTTGATTTTCTGACTCCAGCTCTTTGCACTTTTCATTATAATACTTTATTTTGTCTTCCCACACTGCCCTTTGAAATCTTCTGTTCAGCCCCTTAACTTCTTGATTTCTTCCCTTTGCTTTGGCTTCTCAGTACTCTGGAGCAATAGAGTCTCTTCTGACATGCATTTTGGTCTTTTCTTCCTCCTTGGTCTTTGTAATGACCTTTTGCATTCTTCCTGAATTATATTCATTTTCGTTTGTTTCTTTGTTTTGTTTTTTTCTCTTCTTGTTGTGTACCATCAAGTCGGATCTGACTGGCACCGGAGGAGATAGACCCTCCTTCTCCAGTGGAGCATCTGGTGGATTCAAACCATGCACCTTCAAGATTGCAGCGCAGCTTCTTCCACTAGGCCACCAGAGCTCCCTCCTCGATAATATTCTTGATATCCTCCCATGACTTATCTGGTCTTTGCTCATTAATGTTCAAGACCTTAAACCTGTTCCTGAGATGGTTTTGAATTTCAAGTAGGATAGACTCAAGGTCACATTTTGTTTCCCATGGATTCAGTTTAATTTTCCTCAGCTTCAGTGTGGCTTGCATAGGAGTAGTTGGTGGTCTGTTCCACAATCAGCACCTGGCCTAGTTTTCACAGCTGATGCTTTGGGCAGAATATTAAATGATCCAGGAAGCATTAAAAGAAGATGGAAAGAATATACAGTCATTGTACCAAAAGGAATTGGTGGACACAGAAGAATTTCATGGAACAATATATAAGCAAGAGCCTGTGGTGATGAAAGAAGTTCAAGCTGCTCTGAAAGAATTGGCAAAAAAAAAATGTCTCTGTCACCCATCCACCCAAGATGCCAAAGGAAAAGAAGGCCAAGGGGAAGAAAGTAGCCCCAGCGCCTGCCGTGGTCAAGAAGCAGGAGGCCAAGAAGGTGGTGAATCCCCTGTTTGAGAAAAGGCCCAAAAACGTTGGCATCGGGCAGGACATCCAACCCAAAGTTGACCTTACCCACTTCATCATGGCCCCGCTACATCCGGCTGCAGCGGCAGAGGGCAATCCTCTACAAACGACTCAAGGTGCCACCTGCCATTAACCAGTTCACCCAGGCCTTGGACCGCCAGACAGCTCCTCAGCTGCTGACGCTGGCCCACAAC